TTATTCCAGGGCCCCCATTAGAATTTTAAGTTCTCTGAGTGCGAGTCGCATCCTTCCTGCTCACTCCTGGATCTTCAGACCCAGCTCAGCACCTTCACATAGCAAGTGCTCAACCAACACTTGCTGAATAACCCTCAAAATCATTTTACATAATGCACTTGAGGAAAAACTAAAAGGTCTAATGGCTCCTTAAAATGCCCATGATAGAGAAGCCACAAAAATGAAATACAGATGAATGTCAACACCGAAAACTCCTAGTGATTTCATCTTCTAGTTTTCAAGTTAGAGTAATCTTTACAATTCAGTAAAAAAGCAGCATTTGGACTTTTGACTAAATAGAATTCAAACACTAAAAACAAACTCATCTTCCAGGTTGCGTGAGGACTCAGAGCTCACACAACATACTGGCCATAGCTCAGTTTCTTGAACTATAATTTTCCTTAAAGGAAAAGATCAGCCCCCAAGTCCTGTGCTGTGGTTCTTTTCTTTCACATTGACTGTGTTATTACAACTATCTACAGAGGAGGTTAGTAAAGCAGTCATTTCTGAAAAATTGCTTATTGAGCTCAGTGAGACTAACATGTAAGAGCTATTAATTATATGAAGTAATGCCAGTTTTTACTCGGTAACAATAACTAATCTCCAGAAGCCTGTTTCTTAGGTTATGGTCTGCCATGCAGCCACTAGGCATCAGACCCCAAATGTTCATGGAAAGGCAGGTTTCTGGTTAGCCCTAAAAACAAAACAGAACCAGAAATAACAATAATAATACCTTCAAATGTGTATTTTCATCAGCCAAAATAATTTATACAACTGTCTGAACAAAATGTATAATATTTTCTACAAAATGGTGAATAAATTTAAAACACAGATGTATAGGGGTTAAGAGTCCAGACTTAAATAAATAAACAAAGATCACAACATGTACAAAGAGAGACCACAGGACAGTGAACCCGCAAGTACTCATCACCCAGCTTCAGCAAGTACCAACTCGTGGCCAGCCTTGTTTCCTCCACACCCTGCCCACTTTCCCCTGACCCACTGTGGATTACTGTGAAGTGAATCCTGGCTTCATGTAATTTCCTTTACTATAACTATTTCAACACTTCAAAGGGCACAGACTTTGAGTCAGAGAGACCAGGTGTCCAGTCCAGGCTCTGCCAACTCCTAGCTGGGTAACCCCGGGCAAGCAGAGTGAACTTCCTTGAGCTTGTCTTCTATCTGCAAAATGGAGACAGAAATCCCGACTTCTCAGGAAGACAGTGTGGATGAAATGAGGAACTGAGCCTAGCGCTGGCACACAGAAAGGAGTCAACAGGGCGCTGCAGCTAGAATGCCTACTGTGCTAGCACGTTAAGGCACGACTCTCTCCGACTCACTTCCAATAAGGCTCACAAAGGACAAAAGACATATCGAGTGTTCCCATATAGTAACAAGAGATGCTAAAACCCTCTGTGCTAAGCTTGTAGAGACACTAACCAAAAACTGATTTATGACCCCTTAGAACAATATTCACCTCCGGGAATTTAAGTGTAAAGAGGTCCAGAAAGTCTCTTCGGATAAGGTCGCTGGAGTGCTATGGGGTTTCTACCACCACTCAGGAGGGAGAGGAGAAGGTACTTTCCTACCTCCTTAAACCCCCAAGAGAAAGGGGGTCTTGTGGGGGAACCCTGGAGAACGTAACCTACCTGGGCCGGAAGCTGTGGGGATATAAAGCCTGGTGTCTGACCTGAACCTGATCACACGCCCCCAGGCAGAAGCAGGAAGGAACAGCCCGCGGCTGAGTGGAGGGCAGCTCTGGAAGCAAGCAGTGCTCTGCAGCAGGGCAACGGGCCCCTCGCCACTGCTGGCTTCCCAACCTGACGCAGGCCCGAGCTGGGGAAGGCAAGATTTATTTTTTTAATCAAGTTCAAAGGAAACACTTTGAGTACTGAAATCAGACTCCTCTTATAATCTAAAGCAATAGAAAAAGTTACAGAATATCATATATTATAGGATATACATGTGTGATGTGATATTTATAGGATACATATTCCATCCAGAAACAATCAAAGAAAGACTCCACAGAATGAGCTCAAAGGGGGAACGGGGAGAAAAAAATTAAGTTTTTCCCCTTTTACCCCTTGAAGTTTAGCCCTTTCAATCTGACAGTTACGTTGTATGTTCAACAGCAGCACAAGAGTATAAAAGAAGAGTAAAGAATCCCTTTAGAAAGCTGAATGAAATGTAGACAGGAGTACAAACGGTAAGTTGTATAAACAATGTATAATCAAATACTAAACTATGTCACTTCTAAAGAGAATAAAATTTCTTAAAACATATTAGAAAAGCTGCTCTCTTTTGATTCCTTTTGTTCATTGATTTTTCAGTGAGTAACAGCACCTAAGTGATGCTTCCATGAAGGATTCTTCCCACTCTTCCCCAAAGAATGGAACAAGGAGGAGGAAGTGAAAATTGCTAAAGAGACAGGAACAGATAGAAAAAATGGGGATGATCATGTGCCCCAAGAATATCAATTCAGGGAGAGCAATTCCACATGCAAGGCCCTATGTTAAGCACTAAACTAATACTTACAGGGACAAAGTAGCTTTTCTGGCCTTGCAGGAATTTGAGCGAGACATACGGTAACGGTGAGAGATGAATGTAGTCTTCCGGGGTGGGGAAGGTACAGCAGAGAGAATGTAAAATTGAAAATATAGCCAAAGGCCCAGTAAAGAATCTTTGCAAAGGCCTCTGTGAAGTCACGTAAAGCAAATTCATGGCTGTTTAAAAACTTAGCTCTTAGTCAGTCTTCTGTGGATTCTGACAGCAGCCTTCCTTCATTGGTTCTGGAAGCGTGTTTCACTTGAGGTTGGTATTTCTTCTGGGGCAAGACTTATTTATTACTTTCAACTATGGAAGCACTATACTGACCTTTATAATAAAAGTGTGATCACTCTTTTGAATTTTAAGTAGGCACGAATTCATTCTTGGAAAACATTAAATGCCAAACCAGAGCTACCTGCACTTAAATTATAAGGTGTCTAAACAACTGAGACTCTTCCATGGCATTAAAGGCATCCCAGTGTCACCCACCTGCATGAACAAAGGTTTCAATCCTCATCCAGAACTTGCCATCCCCTTAGCTTATGGTGTGAACTCTAGACAATCCAGCTCTCTGTTTCAGCACTAACGAGCCACAACCTAAATTAGCCACAGAACATACTGTGCATGATTTATAGAGGGCTGCTATTCATTTTCAGCGTGCTACCTCAGGTTTTCTGTTGCTATTACAACACAGCTGAGAAGCCTATTTTTTTGTCAGATAGATAATGATGGAAAGTTAAGTCTAAATTTTCAATTCCAACCTACTAAAACTGTGAGTAATTGACTACAGTGTAAGTCAAGGCAATCAAATTTATTTTTGGTTGTGAATCACAGAACTGCTTACTTTTCAAATAAAAATCCAGAGAACTAGATTATTTCCCAGAATGAAAAGTAACAAGTAAGAGGGTGTGTGTGCATGCGTGTGTGTGCACGCACATGCACATGGGGGTTTTGCCAGTTTTCCATCTCGAAGCCACGATATAACAAGATAATCACCAACTGCATTCTCACTGTTTAAATCTATGAATAATGTGCAGATAATCTAGCATGACTTAAACAAGAAATTAACTGTGATGTAACTCAAGTTCAACAATCAGTCACTTACAGTAGATTAATTTTTCAAGGTAATTTTTGCAGTTGAAAAAATATCTCGGACAGAAGGCAAGAAGAAAGAACATGCAAAAACAAAACAAAACAAAACAAAACAAAGCAGTTTGTTTCCCACTGTTAAAGAAGACAGATTCCTCTAAGGTAGTAACTCTGCTGTCCTATAATCAACAATCCTTTAAAATAAAATATGGCCAGTCTGAACCAACAGGATGAATAAAAAAGTATCTTCCATTTAACTATGATTCACTTTTACAATTATTATCCACTTTGAAAGAATCTACTTCAAACATGACTTTTTCCCCCAGAGCAAGACTACAGGTTACACAGAAGTCAAAGAAAAACCGAGATAAACCTCTAGGAGGGACAAAACATAAGAGATGTGATTCTTCCCGTTAAGCCAATGAAGTCACCTAGATATAAAGGAAAGAACTTCTTCCTTTCTTTCTCCTTCTTATCCTCAAGTCTGAAAACTAAACCCCCAGAAGCCTTTTTATCTAAGGACAAAGAAATGATAAGCCTCTCGGAGGAAAAATAAAAGAAACGACCATAAAGTACAGTAAGTGACTTTTGAATAAATGTGCCAGAATTAAGACATGCAAATGGATGTTGCCCCTTCAGAGTCATTACCTTGGAAACTATATACTTAATCCAATGATGCTGTTATAGGCACTTGGGAATTTGGTTCAGAGCTTAGAATTTGCCACATCCTTAAAAATAGCAAATATTTGTCTTTGTGGGTTTGATACAGCAATAGTCAAAAGTCCTCGGAGTAGCTGTGCTTTCTTTGCAAAGCCTTTCCTGATATCCCAAGTCCAGGTCCCAGGCCCCCTCCTATGATCGCTCTCCTTCCCCCAGCACAGAACTTTTCACTCAATGTTGGAATTGCTTACTTACTTACCATCCATCACCCTGGCAAAACCGTAAACTTCAGAGGAGCAGGGAACTTATTTATTATTATACTCACAATCCTAGAATAATGCCTAGAAAATTATAGGCACCTGAATGACACAGAAATACTGTACGTTACAATCTACTATAACACAAGATGGTCTGGAAAACTGTCTCTATTTACCCTCCCCACTCCTCTCTGAAAAGAGTACCATAGTTCTCTGTGTGATTATACACCTATATGGAGGGACTATTACTTTATACAATACCTGGGAGGAAAAGTGGTTGGATGGGATGATTTTCATTACTTCTTTTTGTATGGGGGAAAAAAAAAAGCAAAAATCATGATTATATCCTCACAGACTAAAAGTGTTTAACTTTTCACTCTCAAATTTGCAAGCATAATAACATCTTACCTAGTTGCAACATCTTTATAGTGTCTCTGTAGGCTTGCATCACCAGCTTGAAATGGCGGTAAAGTGGATAGCACAAAACTCTTCTTCCAAAAGACACCAGGATTTCATGAACATTAGTCCAAGTCTGTGAAGTATCATTTAAATGAGTAATCTTTTCCATATTACACAAGACAAAAGCACACAATGAAATGTAAAACTATTCTCAACTAAAAACTAAGCTTGGATCAACATGAAGCCAAGTGGAAGACAAATACAAAGCCGTGAAGGGAGACTCTTTCTGTAAACCTTACAATAAAATTTTTATCTCAGCCTTTGTAATTTCTCATACTTTATCAACGTATCACAAATGCTCCTTAGAAATCACATACGTAGCACGAAAGTTTTAAAAAGTCTTTTAAGAATTACCAATATGAATGTAAAACACATGGGACTAACAAAATACAGATGCACATAAAAGACATTTCTAAATGATATATGTTTCATGTTTTTGTCTTTTAGGACCATTCGAGATAATGCAGATGAAAAATATAGAACTCTTTAGTGAAGTGTGTTCTCAGTTCCCCCGACCCCCTCTTTCGAGTTTTTGGTTTTTTTGGTTTTTTTTGCTTTGGGCATGAGTAATACATGGTATTTACTTCAGTAATTTGCTTTCACTTTTCAAAGAGAAAACTACTCATTTCTGGAAAAAAGGCTTTATCCTGAATGGTAATGGTTAATGGTAATGATACCACTAACAATGCAAAACTTACCAAAAACACTAAACAAAGGCAATTTTCTACAAAATTGTTTTTTAATTCGGTTTTGATTAAAAATGTATTAAAAATGTAACCCACATATAAAAATTAAAATATAAAATTAAAAGTAAGGGAGTATACATCAATTCCATGTATATTCATCCTTAACAAATGAGTGATCTGATTATGAATACTGAGTACCCAACAGAGGATACTTTGTATCTAAAAAGGAATGATGAATTTCTAAAAAATTCTGGCAAAAAACTAAACACATAAAAGTTTGACAGAGCTAGTTACATGTCTGGCAATTCTAAATTATCTCAAAAACAATAAAAATGTCAAAATAAAATCATAAATAGGTGAATCTCTTCATGCAGACTTTTATAACTAAGCTATGAAATTATCTAGTCCCCAACTTTGTTTTCAATATTGGAATAATCAATGCAATTATTACAAAAGCCAGTTTCTCCATTATAGGCTGATTATGGAAATACGTAGAACTCAAGGGAAGTCTGGAGAACAGCACTTCTCCACCTTAAATATGCATATGAACTCCTGGAGATCTTGCTAAAGATTCTAACTCAGAGGGTCTGGAATGGGATTCTGACTCTCCATCAAGCTCCCAGCAGAGGACACTGGTCAAGCTGTTGGTTCATGGACATTCACGAATAGCAAGATTCTTTGCTAAAGTTAAGTGTTTCAGTTCCTGTTTACATGTTATCTATTATTTGAATAGATAGATTTGAATAGATAGATTTGAAACAACTTTGATTTTCCAACTTAAAATGTACATTGTCTAGGATTCAAACTGGAAAAAAAACAGAAACAAAACTAGTTGCCTTAATAGATGATGCAATGATCAACTGTTTTAACAGTGTTTTAAAGCTTCTGCTTTGATGGACAAAAGTGTGTTCAAAACTAGTAAATTTATTTATTTTATTTTTTTTAATATTTATTTATTTATTTTGGCTGCACCAGGTCTTAGTTGCAGCATGCAGACTCTTAGCTGTGGCATGCGGACTTCGTAGTTGCGGCATACGAACTCTTAGTTGTGGCATGCATGCAGGATCTAGTTCCCCGACCAGGGATTGAACCCAGGCTCCCTGCATTGGGAGCGCGGAGTCTTACCCACTGGACCACCAGGGAAGTCCCAAAACTAGTAAATTTAAAGATAACATTCTTTGCTATATTTGGTGAGCCCTACACAACTATTTTCTACAAAATAGATATAAAAGCAATTATTACTCTATTATAAGAGTTATCAGATCTAAACATACTAACTGTAGGACCTAGGATAAGTTATTTAAGCTATATGATCTATGTTTCCTCATGTGTAAAATACCAATAATTCTATCTCACACACTTCAATAGAAAGGAACAGGTGAAGTAATATACATAAAAGCCTTATTAGCACAGCTTCTGGTGGTGACACTTAATAGTAGTATCACCTAGGTTTTCTGCCCATCTTTGAGCTCTGAGCCCCAATATATGCCGACTTACATACACGCCTCAAACTCAACCCAACATCTTCCTGCAACGGACAGTATACCCATTCCTTCTCCAAACTTCCAAGATACCCTACAGCTGGCCTTATTAGTGTACTATGATTAAAGTAGAAGTAACAAATAAAATCAGTTTTATTAAAAAGATGGAAAAAAACTTTGTACAATAAAGCTATCACTTTTAAAAGTCAAGGAATTGCTTGAATTACCCCTAAATGAGCTAATAACAACAAGAAAATAACTCTGAGCAAACAAAATCTAAACTGCAACTGACAATCATACCTCAAACCAGCAGAGTGTTGGACTCAGTTTTCTGATATTCCACGCGGATTCAACCTTTATTTGTTTTGAAGAAAAGGATAGTGTCACATTAGAGGTAAAGTCATTCAAAACTACAGCAAATATATCCACTTATTCAACTAGTATATAAATAGTATTGACATATGTAAAACCTAAGAAGCATCTATGACTGAAGGAAAATAATGGCTTTACTGATGTCAAGGAGATCAAAGGCAAGTTTCGGTCTACTTTCCTTGGAAATTTATAAAGTAAAGCTGTTGCACTGATAAGAGTACCAGAACACAAGAACACATAAGCAAGGACTTTGAAACTAAAGCAAAGTAATGCATGCTCACTTTCTGTCCTTCTCAACTAGGTTACCTGCCTCCCAAATATGCTATAAATAATCTACCAAAAGACTCAAAGATAATGTTGAAGTGCTCTTTCTGGCACTTAGAAAGCTGCTCAAGAATTTGGCCTTTCAGAGAATGCCTGTGAGAATAAGCGCATTCTAGAGAAGATTCTGAAGTTGCAAGACTTCATGATTTCAAATATGTGAATCCAAGAATCAAATCAAAAATGCGAAGTTATATCGAGCATAACTAAACACTCTCACTCATCTTCTCAAGCAATATGAAGCACTTTTTTGTCAACGAAAATACTTTCACTGATTACGGTATTCTAAAAAGATGAGCGGAAACAAAACCCATTTTCAGTTATAGTATGCCCTTGTTACACTCATTAATATTCATTCTGGAGACAAATCCAAATCTCAAAAGTCACCTTTGAAATTTTCAGAATCCCAGCAGCAAAACGTTTGGCCCATATCAAATCCTTATCCTAACACTATGCTCATGCTATGATGGTGAGTGAGAAAAGCAGGTTAAATAATAGTATATACATTATAACCCAATGTAAATACACATACACAACGAAAGAAGCCTAGGAGAGAAACATCACCTTGTAAGTGTGGCTACCTCCAATGGCTGAGATGACAGGAAATCTTAATTATTTTCTTCCTATGTGTATTTTTCTTTACAATGATATGAATTATTTGTGTAATTTAAAAAGAGGGAGGGGGAGAGGCATGATGGGGTAGGAGATTAACAGGTACAAACTACTATGTATAAAATAAATACAAAAAGATAGTGTACAGCACAGGGAAATATAGCCAATATTTTATAACTTTAAATGGAATAAAATGTATAAAAATACTGAATCACTATGTTGTAAACCTGAAACACTGTAAATCAACTTTTACTCCAATTTATTAAAAAATTTTTTAATAAAATAAATAAATGAAAAACAGGGAAGCATATGCACAGCTCAAAAATAATCCCTTGAGCAAAGACTACTATATACAGATGCAGGGACACATGAACTGGAAAGTTTGTTTTGTTTTGTTTTGTTTTCCAGCCTTGTTTTAAATGTATGCAATCAGTGACATAGGTGAGAAAGAAGTTTAGCTCTTCATTTACAAAATCAAGTGTGGTTTAAGAAGAGATACAGTATAGTCTATATTTTTAAAAAAGATCATTTAAGAAACAACATACTGTACAAAAGGATTTACTTTTACAATAGGATTTCACCAAATACCAAAAAGATACAATCCAGGTTTTTAAAATCTGATTTATATACAATTTTTCAGAAGTACACACACTATTTAAATTGAGGGCTTCCCTGGTGGCGCAGTAGTTGAGAGTCCACCTGCTGATGCAGGGGACACGGGTTCATGCCCCGGTCCGGGAAGATCCCACATGCTGTGGAACAGCTGGGCCCGTGAGCCATGGCCGCTGAGCCTGTGTGTCCGGAGCCTGTGCTCCGCAACAGGAGAGACCACAGCAGTGAGAGGCCCGTGTACCGCCAAAAAAAAAAAATTGAGGAACACCTGCAGATAAACACTTCACATTCCTTTCTTTATAAAATACTATACCTTATGTCTGTTAACGGACAGGTCGGAGAAAGACTAGAAATGGGTATAGTAAAGTTTACCCCTTGCCAATGTCAAGTGTCATGTAGCAACAGCCCTCTCATTTGGTCAGTTCATCTCCTAAAGGAGATGAGAGCTCAGGATATCCTTTTTCTCTACCCTCAGCTTTACTTCCATACTCTGCTATTTGGCAGAGACTAAAGCCAAGAGAGAAGAAAAAAAGACCAAATAGGGCTTCCCTGGTGGTGCAGTGGTTGAGAGTCCGCCTGCCGATGCAGGGGACGTGGGTTCGTGCCTCAGTCTGGGAGGATCCCACATGCCGCGGAGCGGCTGGGCCCGTGAGCCATGGCCGCTGAGCCTGCGCATCCGGAGCCTGTGCTCCGCAACGGGAGAGGCCACAACAGTGAGAGGCCCGCGTACCGCAAAAAAAAAAAAAAGACCAAATAAAAACATTATTGGTACCCGTCACCAACACACCTGTGCACCTCTGCCCAGAGCATCACTAAGTAACTAATCACGACTGGTCTCACTCATGACATTAATACAGTTTACTCCATACAACAGTCTATGCCAACCTGCACAGACACACATGCACTTACATTCTTCTCTCCTTCGGTGACTCGAGTTTCATAGCAATATGCCAGAAGGATATCAATCAAACTGTAGTACACTTGACGACAGGCTCTCTTGTCCAGCAGGTAAGATTTATTGACAAATTTTCGCAGTTGATATTTCTCTTCTTCAGAAAAAGACACTAGAATAAAATGAATTTAAAAATTAGTTCCATTACGTACTGTAAAACCCCCATTGCAGAAGATTCGTCAAAATTATAACTTGGATTACAGAAGATGAAATAAAAAGTTATTTAACTCTGGACATAGAAACAACTTTTTAACTAGGCGTCACAGCTTTATTAAGAGCTATGTATTTGCTTAAATCCTAGTAGAGCTAAAAAAAAAAGAAAAAAATGTCTAAACAATATCTATTCCTTATTTCCAGACCCCCCCCCCAGCCCCTGATCTTTTCCCGCTACACTGTTCTGTACTCGAGGCAGCTAAATGACAGAGTTATTGACTTTAAGATAATTACATTTTGACAACGGAAAACATATAAAAGCTAAATGAAACACTCTGTAAATATTCATTATCTACTGTGAAAGTTCTATACAAAGAAACGGAAATACTCCCATGTATTAGTGAATTTTAAGGGCATCGTATTTTTAAAATATTATTTACACAGAGAAACAGTTTTACATAAATATGCAAATGTGACCATACCACACATATCAGACTTGTGGGAAGAGGAAGTTTCCTTTTCTCCTTTTGCTTGGCACCCTGTTTCCATCCTTATCAACTGCCTCCCCCATGTTAAAAAGATCTAGTATATATCACTCTATATTTTTCTTTACAACCAGACACAAAAATGTGTATACAAGCGAGTTGATACTGTCCCTGCCACCCAGAGAATTAGATTTTTTTTTTTCCATCTAGCCTATCTCACTCAAAAATACCCCTAGGAAATCCCCCCAAGTCACTTGGTACTTAGCTAATTTTGTAAAGGAGTAGAATACTCCATGGTGTAGCATGCTCTATCCAACCACTCCCCCTACTGATGGGCATTCACTCTGCTTCCAGCTTTATGTCACTGCTAATAATGCTGCAATAAATGTTATATGTCACTGGATACTGGAGGCTTTAGATTTACTGGGTCAAAAAGTTTATCTGTTTTTAAGAGATACTTTATTTAAGGGCTACAACTCTCCTTTCTAATGGTCATGGATAGAAGTTCCCTTTCCTACACATATCTCTTGCCCACTCTCAACAATAAATGCTTTTTTAAAAATCATTTCCAGGGGACTTCCCTGGTGGTCTGGTGGTTAAGAATCCGCCTTCCAATGCAGGGGACATGGGTTCGATCCCTGGTCAGGGAACTAAGATCCCACGTGTCGCGTGGCAACTAAGCTCGTGGGCCACAACTACTGAGCTCGCGCGCCTCAACCAGAGAGCCTGCGTGCTGCAAACTACCGAGCCCATGTGCTCTGGAGCCCGCGTGCCACAGCTAGAGAGAAGCCCATGTGCTGCAACGAAGAGACCACACGCCGCAACAAAAGATCCCACATGCCTCAACGAAGATCCTGCACGCCGCAACTAAGACCTGACACAGCCAAATAAATAAAAATCAAAAGAAATTTAAAAAATCAAAATCATTTCCAGCTTAATGGATGCAAAGTGATCGTGGTAAGAAAAATTCTAAAATGACCCCCAATGAGTCACATCATTTGAGTGTGGGCAGGACCTGCAACTTGCTTCTATTTAAAAAAATATGCCAACGGTGTTATAATTATTATGATTATGTTCCATTATCAGCAGACTGGAGCCAGAGACTCGCCTGCTGATTTTAAAGAACTAAGATGCCATGTTGTGAGGGGGCCACATGGCAGGGAGCTGTGGGTTCCTCTAAGATCTGAGAGTGACCCCAGCTGAAAGCCAGCAAGAACATGGAGGGCCTCAGTTCTACAGCCGCAGGAATCAAATTCTGCCCACCATCATGTGAGCCTGGAAAAGGACCCTGAACTCCAGAAAGGATCATAGTCGCCAACACCTATTTTTTAAAAAAAGAAAAAGAAAAGATGGCCACAGTTGTTTATATCCTTCCAAGACCCTGAGCAGAGGACCCACCTAAGCCATGCCTGACTCCTGACACGTGGAAACTGCGTCAAATTAGAACTGTGTTTCTGTTTTGTGGTAACGTGTCATGCAGCAAGAGGAAACTAATACAGTGACATATCATTGTTACTTCAGTTAGTATTTCTCTAACTGCTAAACTGTGAACATTATTTCATAGGTTTGTTGGCAATTTGGATTTGCTCTCTTGTAAATTACCCATGAGAATATGTCTTGCCCAGTTTTTTCTGGATGGCTTGTCAAACATTTAACAACTCGGCTATTATGGACATCAACCCCAGTCATCTCTCCAAATCTTCGGCATCTCTACTGACTTTGCTTAGGGGATCTTCTGCCGTTGAATTATTTATGTTTGTGTGTAGTCCACTATATCTATCTTTTTTTCTTCACCAGACTATGAATTTATAGCCTTTGATAAGGTTTCCCCAATCCCTGAATTGTACATGGAGTCTCTCAGCTTTTCTTTAAGATTTACTGGTTTTCTCTTTTAAATTAAAGTCTTTAAAACGAAATTGAGTTATTTGTAGGGAGGTGGATGGACCTAGAGTCTGTCATACAGACTGAAGTAAGTCAGAAAGAGAAAAACAAATACCGTATGCTAACGCATATATATGGAATCTAAAAAATAAAAAAAAAAGGGTACTGATGAACCTAGTTGCAGGGCAGGAATAAAAATGCAGACATACAGAATGGACTTGAGGACACAGGGTGGGAGGGGGAAGCTGGGGCGAAGTGAGAGTAGCATCGACATATATACACTACCGAATGTAAAACAGATAGCTAGTGGGAAGCACCAGCATAGCCCAGGGAGATCAGCTCGGTGCTTTGCGACGATCTAGAGGGGTGGGATAGGGAGGGTGGGAGGGAGGCTCAAGAGGGAGGGGATATGGGGACATGTGTATGCACACGGCTGGTTCACTTTGGCGTACAACAGAAACTAACAGAGTATTGTGAAGCAATTATACTCCAATAAAGATCTATTAAAAAATAAATCAATAAAATAAAAAAATTAAGTCTTTAATCTTTCTGAAAGTTATTTTTTCAAGTTTTAAGGTTTTCGCTAATTCAAGATGAAGAGTTAATTGTGCCAGCACAGTCTGTTCAGTAATCCGTCTTTTCCACTGTATTGAACCACCGATTTTATCAAATACATCTGCTGCTTTTCTTGCTAAACACTACTTCCAAGCACTTTTGGGTTTTGTCACCTACAAATATAATATTTTTCTCCATTCCCAATAAACTCCTGACAGAAGAGTGAGAAGCTATTTCTTTTTATGTATCAGTCACCTTACCAAATGTTGGCTACCCAGACCAAAAAACTAAGATATTTAATAAAAGCTAATGATTAAAAAAAACACCTTTATGTCTACATTGGGAAGGCAAGCAACTCTAAGACTGTAGTTCCTTCCAAGTTGCCTTTAATGTCTACAATTTAGGTAAGCTATCATAAAATATATATCTTCTCAAGTTAAGAAAACATGAGCATTATCAGTTCCTCATTACTATACTTAGAAAGTAAAATATGACTTGTCTTAGAGCAAGACTTACAGAGAGAGTAACAGCTAATCACATAGATGTGCTGAGTTCCTAGTTTAGTATGAGTAAAACACAGCCTACTAGTTTCTTAGAACAATTTTAAAGAAACTTAAGCATCTAGATATATTGCTACCTCTAAATCAGAGCGTTATCGATCTCTTCCTTTGCAAAGTAATCCTTAACTTTCCTTCCATGTCCTATCAGACAACCACTTTCAAATTCACTTTAAAAGCTGTCCAACCCAGTCAAGAAGAGCATTCAGCTTCTAGTGCCATTGCATATCAAAGTAATGCTAAAATAACTTTGAAGCCTTTTTCTCCAGGTTTTAGAATTGTCCATTATATGCAGGTCAGGACAGGCTAAACTGCTGTATCAGACAGACCCAAAATACAGTGGTTTCAGTAGGACAGAAGTTTTTCTCTCATGCTGCTAATCGGAGTGAACGATCCAGAATGGGTGGGCATCAGAGTCTCCACCATATGACTGCCATGTATGGTCCAAGATGCTGTTCCAGGTGTTAAAATTTTCCAACCAATGGGAAAGCAGAAGAAGAGGAGGACAAACACCTCCCTTCTAAAGACTTGATCCAGAAAGTGCACACAGCACTGCCACTCACTTCCCATCATCGAAGACTTAGTCTCATGACCACACCCAGGGGCAAGGAAGGAAAGAAACTCGGCCGCTAGCCAAGTGGGCATGACCCCAGCTCTAACTCAAGAAGCCTCTTTTTAGAAGGGTTAATAAAAGACACGTGTCTCTGACACCTTCTCAGAGACCAAAAATTATTAAACTGCCTTTTTTAATATTCCCAAAGCACTCTCTTGATACCTAGTCAAGTCCCAGTCCCTTTCTGTCTCTGCTCAACAAAAGACTGCCCTTCTGTTCATCACAACTGGGCAAAAGCCAGAAGGAAAAGAATATGACTGATTACTCCCACATAAGGGTCCCTTTTCACCTATCGTTTTCCAAACTCACTTCTGTACTCTCTTAGGAGCCTTAGGTTTAACATGGTTTCTTTTTGCTGTAAGGCTTCCTTCCAGCACTTTTTAGCAGCCTGTCCTCTGGGGGAAAAAAAATCTTAAATACACTTACTTGATATTATGAGAAGCAATATTCCTTTACTCACTAAAATATATTTAGTGCCAAAACAACAACAACAACAACAAGGTTTTGACATAAAATATGTATTTTTTCCAACCATGTTAAAAACCCTATGTTTAAAAAAAAGTTTTAAATGCATTTGTACAAGCATTGCTTACATAAACAACAAATAACTATGCAAATGTATTTATTTAATTTGCTGGCCAGCAATATAAAGAAATGTGTATATTTTTAAACTTAATGCAGGCGAGTGTCAAATGAAGCATTCTTTAAAGACTGACATTCAAAAAACAAATTCATGTGACAGATCAACTGGGTGTTGAGTGTCCCATTACGGGGCTCGTATGAAGATTTCTCAATTTAAAGAGAAGGTCTCGGTTCACTTAAAGTGGTCTGATGTAAGGAACCTGTAAGGAGGAACATTTCTTCACTA